AGTTCCAGTGTCTGGCTGGTGCTTCACCTCATCTTGCGTCCGTACTACTTGCCCTTGAGGGAGACCCGGATGCACTAGACATCCCGACTCCGCGCTCTTACGCGGAGGCCGTAGAGGGTCCCTACTCCTCTCAGTGGCAGGCAGCTATGGATGCAGAGATGGCTTCCTGGAAGTCCACAGGCACCTACGTTGACGCGGTTCCCCCTCTTGGGGCGAACATCGTCAGTGGCATGTGGATTTTCAGGGTGAAGCGGCCGCCGGGCTCCCCACCTGTCTTCAAGGCGCGGTACGTTGCTCGTGGCTTCAGTCAGCGGCAGGGAGTTGACTACTTTCAGACCTTCTCTCCCACCCGAAGATGACCACTCTTCGGGTGCTGCTGCACATAGCCGCTGAGCGCGACTACGAGCTCCACTCTCTTGACTTCAGCACTGCTTTCTTGCAGGGTAGCCTGCACGAGGAGATCTGGCTGCGCCGTCCACCTGGCTTTACTGAGACTTTCCCTCCTGGCACCCAGTGGAGCCTCCGACTGCCAGTCTACGGTCTCCGCCAGGCACCGCGTGAGTGGCACGACACACTGAGGACTACGCTTGCGGCTCTTGGGTTTGCTCCCTCTACTGCTGACCCGTCGTTGTTCCTTCGCACCGACACTTCTCTGCCGCCGTTCTACATCCTCGTGTACGTCGACGACTTGGTCTTTGCCACAGCGGACACTGCTGGACTCCCCTACATGAAGTCTGAGCTGCAGAAGAGACACACGTGCACAGACCTGGGTGAACTGCGCAGCTACCTTGTCTTGCAGATCACCCGGGACAGAGCACGCCGCACCATTACCTTGACTCAGTCACACATGGTGCAGCAGGTCCTTCAGCGCTTCGGCTTCACGTACTCCTCGCCTCAAGCCACTCCTCTGTCTACTCGCCACTCGCTCTCAGCTCTGCCTTCGGATGAGTCTGTAGAGTCGAGTGGCCTGTACCCAGAGCTTGTTGGCTGTCTCATGTACCTGATGACCTGCACACGACCTGACCTTGCATACCCTCTTAGCATTCTTGCACGCTATGTTGCTCCTGGGAGACACCGACCAGAGCACATGGCTGCTGCGAAGAGGGTGTTGCGCTACTTGTGCAGTACGTCGGGCATGGGGCTAGTGCTTGGAGGGCGGAGTCCAGTGGTCCTCACTGGGCACGCGGACGCTTCTTGGGCTGACGACCAGGCTACTCAGCGGTCGTCACAGGGTTACACCTTCAGTCTTGGTTTCGGCTCTGTTTCGTGGCGGGCTACTCGCTCGTCCTCTGTTCTCGGCTCCAGTTGTGAGGCTGAGATCTACGCCGGGGCCATGGCTGCTCAGGAGCTTCGCTGGCTCACCTACCTGCTGACTGACCTTGGAGAGCCGCCTCGTTCTCCTCCAGTGCTGTACGTAGACAACAAGGCCATGCTGGCCTTGTGTCGAGAGCAGCGCGTAGAGCACAGAACGAAGCACATTGCTCTCCGCTACTTTCTTGCTCGCGAGCTGCAGCAGCGTGGTCAGTTGCGACTTGCGTACGTGGCCTCTGAGGCCAACACTGCTGATGTTTTCACCAAGGCACTTCCGCCTTGTGATCATCAGCGCTTCTGCACTCAGATGGGACTTGTACCTGTCTTACCTCACTTGCTCACCTCTTGATCTTACTTGTACTCTTGCATATATATATATATACCTGCTCTTGCTTGTTTACGGTTATATATATATGTGCACTCCTGCATGTGAACTGGCCTTGTGGCCTTGACCTTGTGCTCGGAATGTGTGGTGACTTTGTGATCCACCCTGAGCTTGCTTTGCTTTGCTTTGCTTGATTGGTCTTGTGACCCCTTGTTCTCCCCCACTTTGCCTATGGGGGTGTGTCAGATTTATATGACATAGCTACTGTAGGCTATAGTGGGGTAGCACATATGGGGTACAGCTTTTCTAGGGTTTGTATTTGTACCCAACTTTCACTTAGTCATTTTCATTTCTCGTTCAAATCTTCTCAGTGCTGAGCCTGTGGGTGCTGAGTCTGGGGTTGCTGAGCCTGGGGGTGTTGAGCCTGGGGGTGCTGAGTCTGGAGGTACGGAGCCTGGGGGTGCGGAGCATGGGGGTGCGGAGCCAGGGGGCGTTGGGTCTGCTCGTGTGACCGCCGGCGGTGCTTCGTCGAGGCGGGAGCCACTCTCTCCGCAAGAGCTGCGCGAGTGGTTTGCCCGACGCTGGAGCCGTACGACTAGAGCTGGAGGCACAACTGTTGCTGTTGGTTCCGGAGGTGCTCTTACTGGCGGTGCTGGAGCTGCTGGGCCTAGGTGTGCTGCTCGGGCTACTAAAGTTTGTCCTACTAGAGCTGCTTACGTTACTGGAGCTGCCGGTCCTGCTGGAGTTGGTGCTGCTGGTGGTGCTGAAGCTGGAGCTGCTGGGGTTGTTGGCGCTGGTGGTTTTTGCTGGCGCTGGTGCATTTAAGGGTGCTAGAGTTGGCGCTGTTGGAGCTGGAGGTGCTGTTGGCGCTGGTGCTGCCACTAGGTGTATTGGTGCTGTCCCTACTGAATTTGGAGGCACTGCGCGGCCGCGGCCGTACTTTATTCCGCTCCTTGAGCACGTTCTTGGTCTCCCGCCTTCTACTGGTCCTGCTCCTCCCTTACATTGTCCACAGCCTGTCCAGTCGCAGTCACAGTTACAGCCCGCCTCCCCTCTACCTGCACCTTCTCCCTACACTGGTCCTACTAGAGGTCTTGCTGAGCGTCGTGAGCCTGCGTCTCATCCTGCATCGCCTGTTCGTGCTACTCGCGCTAGTCGTCGTGGTTCGCGTCCTCCTGCGTGTCCCGTTGCCATCTCCTCTAGAGTCCTCTCTTCCTTTTCTCCCTCACCCGGCCTCTGACTCTCTTCGTGCTGCCAGTCCTACTGTCACACGTCTCCTAGCCATAGTTGTCACTGACCCTTCCTTTGAGTCCACTACTGCGTCTCCCTTAGTGGCTGAGCTTGTCGACTTCGCTGCTCGCTATCGTCTAGACTACGCCACTAGTCTTGTTGCTGCGTCCGAGTCTGTCTGTCCTCCGTCTGTCGAGGGTGGGTGTGCTCTTAGCACGGACGTCCTTCAATACAGGCAGGAGGAGTTCCAGTGTTTTGCTGTTGCTTTGCCTCATCTCGTGTCCACGCTGATTGCCCCTGAGGGAGACCCGGATGCACCAGACATCCCGAGTCCTCGATCGTACGCTGAGGCGATCGAGGGTCCCTACTCCTCTCAGTGGCAGTCAGCCATGGACGCAGAGATGGCTTCCTGGAAGTCCACAGGCACCTACGTCGACGAGGTTCCCCCACCTGGGGCGAACATCGTCAATGGCATGTGGATTTTTAGGGTGAAGCGGCCGCTAGGTTCTCCGCCTGTCTTCAAGGCACGTTACGTCGCTCGAGGCTTCAGTCAGCGGCAGGGAGTTGACTACTTTCAGACCTTCTCTCCCACCCCGAAGATGACCACTCTTTGGGTGCTGCTGCACATAGCCGCTCAGCGTGACTACGAGCTTCACTCTCTTGACTTCAGCACAGCTTTCCTGCAGGACAGCCTGCACGAGGAGATCTGGCTGCGCCGCCCTCCTGGCTTCACTGGATCGTTTCCTCCTGGTACCCAGTGGAGCCTCCGACGGCCAGTCTACAGTCTCCGCCAGGCGCCCCGCGAGTGGCACGACACACTTAGGACTACACTTGCGGCTCTTGGGTTTGCTCCTTCTACAGCCAACCCGTCCTTGTTTCTAAGCACCAACACCTCTCTGCCGCCGTTCTACATCCTCGTGTACGTTGACGACTTGGTCTTTGCCACTGCTGACACTGCTGGACTTGCCAACGTGAAGTCCGAGCTGCAGAAGAGACACACGTGCACAGACTTGGGTGAACTGCGCAGTTACCTTGGCTTGCAGATCACCCGGGACAGAGCACAGCGCACCATTACCCTGACTCAGTCACACATGGTGCAGCAGGTCCTTCAGCGCTTCGGCTTCACGTACTCCTCACCTCAGGCCACTCCTCTGTCTACTCACCACTCGCTCTCAGGTCTTCCTTTGGATGAGTCCGTAGAGCCGAGTTGCCCGTACCCAGAGCTTGTTGGCTGCCTCATGTACCGGATGACCTGCACACGACCTGACCTTGCATACCCTCTCAGCATCTTGGCATGCTATGTTGCTCCTGGGAGACACCGACCAGAGCACATGGCTGCAGCGAAGAGGTTGTTGCGCTACTTGTGCAGTACATCGGGCATGGGGCTAGTGCTTGGAGGGCGACGTCGAGTGGTCTTCACAGGTCACGCAGACGCTTCTTCGGCTGACGACCAGGCTACGTAGCGGCCGTCACAGGGTTACACCTTCAGCCTTGGTTCCGGCTCTGTTTCGTGGCGGTCTACCCGCTCGTCTTCTGTTCTCACCTCCAGCTGTGAGGCTAAGATCTACGCGGGGGCCATGGCTCACCTACCTGCTGACTAACCTAGGAGAGCCGCCTCGTTCTCCTCCAGTTCTGTACGTAGACAACAAGGCCATGCTGGCCTTGTGTCAGGAGCACATACTGGAGCACAGAACGAAGCAAATTTCCTCTCCGCTACTTTCTGGCTTGTGAGCTGCAACAGCGTGGTCAACTCCGCCTCACCTACGTGGCCTCTGAGGCCAACACTGCTGATATCTTCACCAAGGCCCTTCCGTCTTGTGATCATCAGCGCTTCTGTGCTATGCTAGGTCTTGTGCCTACTTGGCCTCACTTGCTCATTTCGTGATCTTGTTGTTACTGTACTCTTTCTATACCTGCACTTGCTTGTTTACCTTTATATATATGATCTTGCATGTGAACTGGCCTTGTGGCCTTGCTCTTGTGCTTGGACTGTGTGGTGACGTTGTGATCCACCCTGAGCTTGCTTTGCTTTGCTTGACTGGTCTTGTGACCCCTTGTTCTCCCCCACTTTGCCTATGGGGGTGTGTCAGGCATATATGCTATAGTCTGTGTAGGCTGTAGTGGGGCAATTCATATGGGGTACAACACGTAAGGGTTTACTACTTGTACTCCTCATTCTGCTCAATGCATTCATTCCTCGTTTCTTATCACGCGATCCATAGCGTCACCGACCTTCTGAAGTCCAAGGGTGGCGCGGTCGTCGAACGTGCTGCGGGGACCAACAGGGGGGCTGCTGCTGCTGGTGGACCACCCCCTGCGACCTCGGGGGTGGAAGCTGGTAAAGGCAAGGCCAGGGTCGAGGACGCCCCGCCAATCACCACCTCCACCACCACCGCCATCACCACCGTGATTGTGCCCGCGTCAGGCAACACCGCCGCGGTCGCGCCAGGACAGCCTAGACGCAGCTCTATCGCCCCTGCCATCCCCCCCTCTGCAGATGTGAAGGCGAAGAATCAGGGCCGCAGTGGTTGTAAGCCTCCTGCAGCTGCGTTGAAGTGTGAACGCGACGACGACGACGACTCGGACGCGGACGATGAGTTGAGCTTGTGATGCAGAGGTTCTTGGGGCCAAGCGACACCAGCGGAACAAGCAGCAAGCGCAAGGGCTGTGGTATCCGCCCTCTGTCCAGGGGGTGGGGAGGGGATGGTGGGCAAACCGTGGCTTGGGGGGAGACGTCGCTAGCTCAGACATCACTCTCTCCAAGAGGTGCAGTATCTGACCGCGATCGGGGTGATGTGTTACGACAAGAAGATATACCTCGGGCTAAAGCTGAGTGCATAGCAGAAGAGTGAGTGGGCCGAGGACATCTCCGCGGCCGGGACATTGTGCACCGGGCTATTCGCCACCATGCACCTCCGCAACCTTTGCGGCCAATGTTGACAAGTACGGTCATCTGATCACTCATTTGTTTTACGCGGTCACACTCGTGCCTAACCATGTTGCGTGTTACCCCATGCATGCAGGTACTACCACATTTTCAAGGCCTACCACGACCTCTCCCGCCGCGGGTCCCCGATCAGCAACGCGATAGCTTGGGCAGCCACGGTGGGGAAGGAGGCTGCAGATGAGGAGCGCGATGTCACCGGCGCCCAAGCGGGCCTGTTCGCTGGTGCGGTCGCGTGCGCCATCGCGATGGTGTGGGAGACCAGCAACGGTCTCGAACTCGAGGCTATCGCTAATGCTGGATACTCCACGGCGCAGCTTGCTGGCACGCCTGAAGAAACGGCCTGCGGTTACGCCACGATCGTGACTGCGGTTTTCAAGTGGGCCAGGAAGGAGAATGATCGCAAGCAAGCCCCTGAGGTCACACCGAAGCAGATTGCGGAGAAGATTGAGACCGCGGTCGTGAACCGTCTTGGTGTGCGACTTGGAGACCCCACTTTAGTCGCTATGGTCACGCACGAGGCAGTAGACGTGCTGATGACCTGGTGCGACTGCAAGATCGCGGCCAAGGTGATGGAGGCCAACGGGCTCTACCTCTCTTTGCCGGAGAAGCGGCTGTTTGCGAAGAAGTGGTCCGCGTGAAGGTGGTAGTATAGAGGATGTGAACTCTAGGTGACAAAGACTCTTGTATGTGTGGTCGCATGAGACTCCTAGTAGTGTAGGTAGCTTGCCCACCCTGTTTGAGATTTTCTCGCGGTGGTCATTCTGTCTGTGCTGTGTACTCCCTCCCCTTTTTCGTAATTCAACTCTTTTGCTTCTCACGCGGCCAAGGATTTGCGTAAATCCATCATGGACATTGACCTAACATCACCCCTAAATAGGCACGGCGCTGATGTGAAGTATGCACGAGAGCAATAGCCGCAGGCAGTATGTGAACGCGTATGCGGTCACCTTAAACGCGCATTTTTTGGTGAACAAACTGTACAGACCACACAATTCGACCGCGGTACAATTAACACCCGAATCTAGCAGTATAATACTGGGTTTACCTGTTTGAAACACAATCTAAAGCTATTTCCCAACGCGAACATAGTAGGACCACCCAATTAAGCTAGTCGGGGCATCTGGGCACAGTACTGAGGCCACGCGACCGGAAACTCTGACGCGGGTAGAGAGGCATCGATCATGCGGTCGCGTACCAGCATCCATTTCACCCGCAACTGCACCTCCGCCGGAGAACCTTTTTTCAGCTCGCTCAGGTTCAAGTTAACACTCTTCTTCTTCACCGCGATACCTTCCGACACACCCGACATGCCCACAGTTCGAGACACGAGGTCGAGCTTGTCGAGCACGACCGCGATGTTGTCTCCCTGCTCCACCCTGCGGGAGATGAAGTCCATGACTCGCTTTACACGGTTTATCGCATTCTGGGCGGCGTTCTGGCCGCCTCCCTCCTTCCCAATGAGCTCGGCCATTCGCGTAACTGCACCGGGGGGTTGGGACAGGAGCGACTCTGGACTCTCGCCGATCAGCGGGTGCGTGGACTTGTACAGCTTCCATCCGTCCGACGGCTTGGTCGCGTTGACCCATGGTTTCATGATTGCGTCCCGAATTGTCTCGTCCCTGGTCGGCTGTGCGGGTTTCTTACGTGTTCCCTGGTCGGTGGGGGTTTCGGCATTGGTAGGCGCGGCCACGGCTCCAGGAGTGTTTGCCGGACTCGGATCCGCGGTCGGCCCTGAGCTGCTCACGGTGAGACACGACAGCTGGGCCTCCAGATCATTCACGCGTTCGTCTTTCGCGGCCAGCTCCCGATCGCTATCTTCCAACAGAACCTCCAGCTCTTTCACCCGTTTATGAGTCGCTACCAACTCTACACCCAGCCTGGTGTTGTCCGCTTGCGAACGAGTCAGGTACACAGTGAGGACGGTCACCTGGTTCTGCGCGTCCATTCTAGTACTGACCTCCTGCATATACAGAATGCGAATGCGATATTGTGATGGGTACTCATAGACATTACAGCCAAATTAGTAACGCAACCATGCAGTACGCACCGCGGGATGGGTCAGTGTAGGTGTGTTACGCTGTACTATGGCCAGCTGATTTGCCAAGGAGACATCTGCTGCCCACCGCGCAAATTCCTCCGTCTGGCAGAGCGGGTTGTTGACCACGTACGGGTGTCGCGGCTAGTGGATGTAACACATGGCCAGGTCTTGCGCGACCGCCATCCTAGCCTCCCCATCCAGCTCCTTCAGTATGTTTAGACCTGCGGTGTCCTGCTTCTCCGCCTTGTCCTTGCTGACCATCTTCCGGTTGTAATCATGGCACTGTGCAACACAACAACGCGGTAGTTAGCGCGGTGCCAGAGGGTTATGTGGAATGATCGCGGTCATTTGATACTACTGTACGCGGCCCACACATACCTGTTTCTGTCCTTTGTCCGGTGCGGCCCAGGGGAAAATGTGCTTCCTCAATTGCTTCTCCAGCTTCTCGCTCACCGGAACAGTTGCGCGACCCAGGAAGTAGTCACCATCAGCCCCTGTGAAGCCAGCCTTCAGGAGCACGGCCTCCCTCGAAATAGTTGTGAGGTAGTGCTTAGTCATCACGTCGATAAAGCGCCAACCCCCTAGTCTTGCCAGCTGATCAGAGGGCATTCCGTCCGCGGACGAGTGCTGAGCCCCACCAGCTCTCGTCGCGTGAACCACACGCGAGCATGTGATTCCCGCGTCCCCCAAAATCTTCGCCGCCCAGTCGTGATGAGTCGTGGGCGGTATCTGCTTCTTTGTGCCCGCGCGAAGGGGGAAGAAGAGGTACTGGTCGTACCACGTCAAGGGTTCCGTGAAGTCGAGAGGGGGGGCTATATCCCCGTAGAGGATGGGGACCAACTCGTACACCCAGTGCAGCCAGAGCAGCGTGGCTCCGACCGCGCACAGACTCCAATCTATGTGTCTCACTGCCGAGATGTAGTTGAGCGAGAAGTCCTTGTTTGTCTTGCCCGTCCTGCACGCGCAGACAAAATCGAACGCATTTCGCACTGGGTCAGTCTCGGATTTTGCGCCGAGCTTCCACATCATCATGTCTGGAAGCTGGAGGTTTCAGATCGTGCACCCGCGGGCTAGTGTGTGATGACCCAGGACGGTCATCGTCTGGATGCAGAGGTCGTGATGCAGTGCCTGCGTGTACTGTTGCTTGGCTAGTGTGAAGCTGCACAAGATGGCTGCCATGCTGGTCTTCCACATCATCTTCTTGAACTCGTCCGGGTTGTACGTGTCCGCGGCCGTGCCCCGATGGCGATCCATGTGTTCCCTTCGCAACCAGTTGGACGATAGTGAGTCTGTTAGTGAACGCGGTTTCATTGGACATACGCAGTCATTGGGTTGGTATACTTACGCGATAAACCGCTTGTACTGGTCGCGTTCTTGAACGCGGACCCAGATGCGACACTCCGCAAAGTCACGCAGCAGGTTCAGAACGGGCTTCCTGAAGATGGCCGCGTCCAGCTTGATGAGGAGGTTCAAAGCCTTGAGACGCCCCATCAGCATTGCACGAGAGCACTGGCGTCTCTTCTTCAAGGTCTTGTCGGGCCGCTTGAGTGTGGCCATTCTGTCCGACTGCGCGACCGTCTCGTTCGCGAGGAAGGTCACGTATTTGCGCCACGGATTTGTCTCACGGCCGTGGAACCACTGCTCGTCGCCCTCCGCCATCTTCCAGTCACCACCCATGTTCTGCTCGAGCGCAACCCCGATCTCGTCGGGGTTCGTGTTTCTCAACAAGGCCTCCTCACCAAACCTACTCGCGTCCAATTTTGGCAGCTCGTGCGCCATGAAGAGCTTGTACTCTCTGGCCCAACCGTGATACTTCTTCAGCGTGGCCTCAGAGACACCGTAGAGGATGCCCATGCACATCTCTCTTTTTGCGACCGGCGTGTCGTCCACACCAAGCGTGTTCCAATCCGCGATGGGGACCTCCAAGTCCGTTCGCGTACCCCGCACCCGTTCGTTGTCTTCCGCCTCCTCCTCGTTGAGCGCGGACAGCGAGTTCGAAATGTAGTTTTCGTCATCGTCATTCCAACTGTTGTCCACATCGTCAGCGTCGTCCTCGTCATCCTCATCGCTTTGCCCCTCGCTCCCCTCCCTCGATCCGTTGCGTGCCGTGTGCGGTACGACTTCGACTCACCGCCTCCTTATACGCGGTCTACTGACTGGCACGTTCCCGGTACCTCCGGTCGCGTTAACACCGTTACCTCTGCCGCAGTTGCCTGTCACCCCAGGCGCTCTCCGCCCGTTCGCACTACCTCCGTTCCCTCCCACACCGGTCCCACGTCCCGCGCTCGCTCTCCCACCCCTTCCTCTCGCACCTGTCCCTCTTCCCGCGTTCCCTCTCGCACCAGTCCCTCTTCCTCTTCCCGCGTTTCCCCTTACACCAGTCCCTCTTCCTCTTCCCGCGTTTCCCCTTGCACCAGTCCCTCTTCCTCTTCCCGCGTTTCCTCCTGTAGACGCTCCACAATCCGCGTTCCCCGCATTCGCCTGTGGTTGCCCACCTACATCGTGTGAAACTAACTGAACAGGAATGAATTGACTAAGTCAGAGTTGGGTACAAATACAACCCTAGCAAACTGTACCCCATATGTGCTACCCCACTATAGCCTACAAACATGCATCAGCTATAATGATCTGACACACCCCCATAGGCAAAGTGGGGGAGAACAAGGGGTCACAAGACCAGTCAAGCAAAGCAAAGCAAGCTCAGGGTGGATCACAAAGTCACCACACAGTCCGAGCACAAGAGCAAGGCCAGAGGCCAGTTCACATGCAGGAGTACAGACATATATAAAACTAGACAAGCAAGAGCAGGTATATATATGTCAAAGTACAAGTAAAGTCAAGAAGAGAGCAAGTGAGGCAAGACAGGTACAAGACCCAGCTGGGTACAAAAGCGCTGATGGTCGCAAGGCGCAAGTGCCTTGGTGAACACATCAGCAGTGTTGGCCTCAGAGGCCACGTAAGCAAGTCGCAACTGACCACGCTGCTGCAGCTCACGAGCAAGGAAGTAGCGGAGAGCAATGTGCTTCGTTCTGTGCTCCAAGCGCTGCTCTCGACACAAGGCCAACATGGCCTTGTTGTCTACGTACAGCACTGGAGGAGAACGAGGCAGCTCTCCAAGGTCAGTCAGCAGGTAGGTGAGCCAGCGAAGCTCCTGTGCAGCCATGGCCCCGGCGTAGATCTCAGCCTCACAACTGGAGCCGAGAACCGAAGACGAGCGAGTAGACCGCCACGAGACAGAGCCGGAACCAAGGCTGAAGGTGTAACCCTGTGACGACCGCTGCGTAGCCTGGTCGTCAGCCCAAGAAGCGTCTGCGTGTCCAGTAAGGACCACTGGACTCCGCCCTCCAAGCACTAGCCCCATGCCCGACGTACTGCACAGGTAGCGCAATACCCTCTTCGCTGCAGCCATGTGCTCTGGTCGGTGTCTCCCAGGAGCAACATAGCGTGCAAGGATGCTCAGAGGGTATGCAAGGTCAGGTCGTGTGCAGGTCATCAGGTACATGAGGCAGCCAACAAGCTCTGCATACGGACCACTCGACTCTACGGACTCATCCGAAGGCAGAGCTGAGAGTGAGTGGCGAGTAGGCAGAGGAGTGGCCTGAGGCGAGGAGTACGTGAAGCCGAAGCGCTGAAGGACCTGCTGCACCATGTGTGACTGAGTCAGGGTAATGGTGCGGCGTGCTCTGTCCCGAGTGATCTGCAAGCCAAGGTAGCTGCGCAGTTCACCCAGGTCTGTGCACGTGTGTCTCTTCAGCAGCTCGGACTTCACGTAGGCGAGTCCAGCAGTGTCCGCTGTGGCAAAGACCAAGTCGTCGACGTACACGAGGATGTAGAACGGCGGCAGGGAAGTGTCGGTGCGAAGGAACAGCGACGGGTCAGCAGTAGAAGGAGCAAACCCAAGAGCCGCAAGCGTAGTCCTCAGTGTGTCGTGCCACTCACGCGGTGCCTGGCGGAGACCGTAGACTGGCCGTCGGAGGCTCCACTGGGTGCCAGGAGGGAAAGTCCCAGTGAAGCCAGGCGGACGGCGCAGCCAGATCTCCTCGTGCAGGCTACCCTGCAGGAACGCAGTGCTGAAGTCGAGAGAGTGAAGCTCGTAGTCGCGCTGAGCGGCAATGTGCAGCAGCACCCGAAGAGTGGTCATCTTCGGGGTGGGAGAGAAGGTCTGAAAGTAGTCAACTCCCTGCCGCTGACTGAAGCCACGAGCCACGTAACGCGCCTTGAAGACAGGCGGCGAGCCCGGCGGCCGCTTCACCCTGAAGATCCACATGCCACTGACGATGTTCGCCCCAGGAGGGGGAACCGCGTCAACGTAGGTGCCTGTGGACTTCCAGGAAGCCATCTCTGCATCCATAGCTGCCTGCCACTGAGAGGAGTAGGGACCCTCTACGGCCTCCGCGTAAGAACGCGGAGTCGGGATGTCTAGTGCATCCGGGTCTCCCTCAGGGGCTAGCAGTACAGACGCGAGACGAGGTGAAGCAGCGGCTAGACACTGGAACTCCTCCTGCCTGTCCTCTAGGACGTCCGTGCCAAGGGCACACTCACCCCCGACGGACGGAGGACAGGCGGACTCAGACTCAGCGACAAGACGAGCAGCGTAGTCTAGACGACAGCGCGCAGCAAAGTCGACAAGCTCAGTGACAAGGGCAGACGCAGCAGACGACTCGAAGGAAGGGTCAGTGACAGCAGTAGCAAGGAGACGCGTGACAGTAGGACTGGCAGCACGAAGAGAGTCCGACTCCGGGTCGGCAAGAGCAGGAAGAGAGGAAGCAGGAGGAGAAGGCAAAGGGGCACGCAGAGGAGCAGTGGACGGACGCAGTGACATCCGGTGCGTCCCAGGGACAGGAGGAGGACGCTGACGCGACCCGCGACCACTAGCGCGCTCAGTACGAACAGGCGACGCAGGACGAGACGCAGGCTCACGACGCTCAGTAAGGCCTCCAGTCGGACCAGCGTAGGGAGAAGGAGCAGGCAAAGGGGAGGCAGGCTCTAGCTGTGGCTGTGACCGGACAGGCTGCGGACCCTCTAAGGGAGGAGGAGGAGGAGCAAGACCAAGAACCTGCTCCAGGAGCGGAACGAAGTACGGTCGAGACCGCGCGGCGACGCCAGAAACAGCAGGAACAGAACCAGCGGCTCCGGCCGGAGCACCCACTCCAGCAGCACCTCCAGCAGAACCACCAGAAGCTCCAGAACCTCCAGCAGCAGCACCAGGAGCACCGTCAGTCGGACCACCAACCGCAAGCTCAGCGCCAACGTCCTCAGCAGGACCAGCTTTAGGAGAACCCTCAGACCCAGCAGCTCCAGCACCCACAGGACGAGCACCGCCAGGTCGCGTGGCAGCAGCGCCCTCCGCAGCCGAAGAACCACCAGAACCAGCGGCACGCCTCCAGCGCCGGGCAAACCACTCACGCAGCTCCTGTGGAGAGAGCGGCTCCCGGCGAGACGAAGCACCCCCAGGCACAGCACCTCCAGGCTCGGCACCTCCAGGCTCAGCACCCCCAGGCTCAGCACCCCCAGGCTCAGCACCCCCAGGCACAGCACCCCCAGGCACAGCACCCCCAGGCACAGCACCCCCAGGCACAGCACCCCCAGGCACAGCACCCCCAGGCTCAGCACCCCCAGGCTCAGCACCCGCAGCAGCACCAGAGTCACCAGTGACCTCGACAGGCTCGACCGCGTCTACCTGAGACACACCTGAAGGGGCAGGACCCTGAGGGGGGAGGGGGACTACTGGGGGGGGACCTGGTACCAAGAAGAGCGGGGGTGGGGGGAGGGACGGAGTGCGGTAGGGGAAGAGGCGGTAGTAGGGTACCGACTCGTCGAACGTGACGTCCTGGGAGGACAGAACACGTCGAGAGGTGGGGTGGTAAAACTGCCACCCAGGGGCGTCGGGGGGGAACCCGAGGAAGACGCAGGGAGAAGCACGAGGGGACAGCTTGTCCGCAGACAGGTCGCGAACAAACGCCCGAGATCCCCAGACCCGGAACGCCGACGCATCGCCAACCTTCCCCGTCCACAACAGAGCTGGGGAGGTCTCCGGTCGAGAGACCCTGGGGTGGAGGTTGATCTGGTGCGCAGCGTACCTGACCGCAAACGGCCACAGAAAATGGGGAGCAGCCGCATGCATCATGGACGTACGAGCGACGTCCATGACCATGCCAATGCGGCGCTCAGCGATCCCATTCTGCTGTGGTGAGTCCGGAAGCGTGAAGGTCTGACGGATGCCTCGCACACGACAGTAGGCACTCAGGAGGGCAGAGGAGAACTCTCCGCCTCTGTCCGAGTGCAGACGCAAGACAGGGAAGTCAGAGCCAAAGCTTCTCCGAAGCTGAAGACGAGCTGCGCGGATCCAGTCGATCAACACCTGAGTGACCTCACCCTTGCTGCGCAAGGGGAAGACTGTGGTGTAACGCGAGTAGTCGTCAACCACCAGCAGGAAGTAGCGCTCCTGACCCTGTCCACGGACGCGGGCTGGGCCCCACACGTCCATGTGAAGCGTCTGCAACGGGGCCTCTGTCGGAGGAAACTGGGAGGAGTGAGGGGCAGCACGCTGGCGCCCCTCGACACAGGGGACACAGGCAGGGCCAGGGCCCGGAGGAAGGGGAGGGAGGGACCGGGGAAGACCAGACACAAGGACCCGCGAGGCCATGCCTCTGAGCCTAAGCAGAGAGGGGTGGCCAAGGCGGTGGTGCCAGAGGAGGGTCTCGTGAGACAGACGACGACACGAACAAGGGGCAGACTCAGGACCAGACCTGGACGCTGCAGCAAACACCTGACCAGACGAAGGGGCCCTACCAGACGCAGTACCTGGAGGAGAAGCAGTGGTCAGTGTGTACAGGCTCGACCCCGGCCGACGT